TACCCGAGGCTTGCTACAGGGAAGGGCAGTTCATTAGGGCTGCAGAGCGAGGAGAGGAGGGGTTGCAGGCAGTTTCAAATCTAAAGGTTCCTCGGTGGTTTCTAAAAGCCCCCTCCCCCTAGGTGATTTTGATACATACATAAGTCCTGACCATATGACAGAACTGTGCAGGCCCATTTCACAGATGCGAAAACTAAGGTCCAGAGAGAAGAAGTGACTGGCGAGTTAATAAAAGCTGAAAATCAACTCCAGGCCTCTGGACTCTTGCCTTCATGCACCCTCCACTACACAGAGCCTTGGACTGGTTGTCACACATATTTAATAAATAAATGAAATAAGGGCACAATGTTTGCATTAATTTAATAATATAACTGCATGGGTTATTACACTAGTTCCTATCCTGGGGTCCCTGGATCTGCAACAGAACTCAGTTCCTGATGGCAGTGGGAGGGTCCTGGGCTAGTTCCAAACCTCAAGAAGCCTTAAAGCACTATGAGCTTATCTAGAAAACAGCTGCCCAGGCTGTCCAAAACATCACTTTTTGGCTGGAATGAGATCAACTAGCTTTGATGAGTCTAGTTCTCTCAAGTCAATCAGTTATGACTGGAAGCCTTCTGGGTTTCTCAGTAATAAAAATGGACATATGAAGTCTTCCCAACAAAACACAATTTGTTTCAGAGACAGTGTGTCAAAAGCTGAAGCTGGTAACGGGGGAAACGGTTTCAAAGGGATCTTTGAAGGTAAAATGATAGCAACTAGGGCCTCCTGCGTGTGTCCACGAGGCCAGGTCGAGTCCTGGAGACGGTTACAACTCAGCAACCCTGTGGGCTTCATTTCCTGCCTGTGCATTTCCCTGAGTATTTTATATGAAAGATTGGCTTCAGGCTTAAATCTGGACCCTATAGATAATTTATTGTTCTTTGCTAAAAAATCAAGATGTAATCAAACCTCCTCCCATTCCCACCACAAGGACCACTCCTCCACCCTGCCTTGGGCAAATATTGGTTACACACACTCAGGCAGAAGGTAGGGCGTGAATGGGGCAGAAAGCCCTGCCCTCCCATCGCTGCGCGGGAAAGAACATGGGGTCCCATGCAGACGAAAGAATTGACTTTATTATTAACTGACATTCCATAGCAATTTGCATTATTTTTATATACTACTTTATGTTTTTTATGCTATATATTATAAATATATACTATCTATTCTATTTATTTTTGCATATGTTGTCACATTATTTTCACATATACAGTGTTGGGCACATAGTAAGCATTCGATAAATACAAGTTAACTGAGTCCCTTTAAAGATGTTATGGCAAAATACTAAAATCAATTAAGGCATACCTGTAATAACAGTTAATGAATTGAGTCTGAAGCAATGATGAAAAAGATTCAAACTAAACCACAGTAAGTTTGGGAAGATCTTTTTCCGATATAAAGAGGGAAAATACATTAGTTCAACCATTATTACTTCCATATCATTTAGTCTCCATGAATACCATCTAGATTTTCTTCTGGTAAAAAAAAAAAAAATCATATTTCATTGTTAAACGCTTTGATGCTGTACATAAAAGTTATCCCATGTTTAATTCCTTACCATTATTTGTGTAGTCTCAGAACAAGTAAAATCCCTTCTTGCTGAAAATTATATAAGAGAAAGTCAGTGTTTAATCCCTAGTCAGGATTTCCTGGCTTTTTAAAATGAATAACAATCGGATGAATTTTGTAAATGAATGCCTTACACATTGGTAGATTGCTGTAACTTATGCAACCTTCTTTCATACACAGTATCTCATCTGCTCCCTAAAGCAACTCTATCAGATGTACAGTTAAGTATCATTATTACCTTCCATAGAACTAACCCCACATGATAATTACTGTATTTGTTTCTTAGTTGTGTGCTGACAGCTCACTAACTAGAATGCAATCTCCCTAGAAGGCTTAGTTGTGTGCTGACACCTCACTAACTAGAATGCAATCTCCCTAGAAGGTAAAGAACTTGTCTTCCTGTTCCTAGTTGAACCCACAGAGCCTAGCTCTGTGTCTGGGGCATAGTAAATGTTGTAGGAAAATTCATTAAATGAATAAAGGCCCTTGTCTGCTTTAAGCCTTTTTTGGTATAAGTACGTAATAGATCACGTCCCACATACCCCATTTAAAGTTCAGTGGTCTGGTCTCAATCGAAAGGAAGTTGTATGAAAGTTCTCCAAAAACAACCGAGTTCACACTCGACAATACTAAGAATAAAAGTACAATGTCCTTGGAAACATGAGAATAGCAACGCACATGAAATGTTAAGCATCCAACATTTCCAATTTTCCACTACTACGTTTAAACATCTTAACTAGCTTTAGTATATTGAGTATGTGCCTAATACACTATTTCAGAAAGTAGGGTAAGAGAAAGTGGAGCCATAGTTCATAGAGCTGTCAGGACTTTAAAACAACCATTTGTTGGCCATAATTTGCTTCCAATTTAACTACAAACCCTAACTTTTCATTATGATGACATTTTTACAGGTAATGGTCTGAGATATGTGGAATTATCTCTTAACTTTTCAAGGTCAAAAGAAAAAAGACAACTCATCGAGAATGAAATATATAAATGTTTAATATTAAGAAACAGTTACAAATCATACTAGACAAGAACTCTTTGATCTAAGAGGCCAAAATCTAACTTCTTATGCAATAGGCTAAGTTATAAATTATAATTACTCACTGATTACAGTGAAATTCCGGACTTTGCCACATCAATCAATAGATGTTCCAAGGTTACCCCTTAGAAATGCCAGTTAAGCTCTAAATATCCCATCTCCCAAAGTTTCCTACAAAAATAGACAGGTTTTTCCAGGATATTTTAGATTTCTTTTTACTCCTTCCTCCCCACCTCAAAAAAAAAAGGACAGGGGTGTTAAGAAAACTAGGGAAGCCTGCTGAAGTGAAACAGGGGTCCCTCTGGGTCCTGGTAAGGGAGTGTGCATCGTCTAACATCAAGCCTATCCACCGTTGGTCCTCAGTCTCCAGAACCCTGTCTGCACCTGCCCTTGAGCACCAAAAACTGCAGGCTGCTAAGTTCCAACGTTATTTGCAACCGGTCTGAAAACTAATAAATGATTGCAGGCTTGACAGCATCCTTGGTGATTCCTGAAAATCCTCAACAGGAAACGTAACTATTCTCCACCCTCCCTAGCCATTCATCAAAAGCAGACCGAGTCACAGCAAAAGGGAGGCCGGTGGCAGAAGGCCACTCATATAGAAAGATTCTGCCTTTTCTCAGTCCCTAACCAAGGACAGGGAGCACTGCTCACGCGGGAGGAAGGCGACCGAAGAGGCAGGCAGCGGTAAAATGTCCCCCAAGTTCCAAACTCTATACTGTGGGGTTAAAAAACGAGTGAAAAAGCCAAGCCGCTAATATGTGGCAACCTCCACTGCCTGTCCCAGAAGTCACACATACAGCTGATGAGCAACGGTCATGCCTACACCAACTGACCCGGGAGCCTAATCGGTGCCCAGAATACGGTCTTTGCCCCCGGCTCGGGCTGCCAGCCTCCTTCCCTTCTGCTCTCTAAAGGGGCAAGAGGGTGAGGGCGGCAAATGCACCAAGACCCGGAGCCAAAGAGATGCCGGTGCGCCCTGGGGAGGAGGACGAGTTAACCTCGGAAGCCCCTCGAACTTGGAAAGGCTCCCCGAGCCGACCCCAGGCCGTGGCACCGAGAGTGGCCCGGGGCGGGCGGGCGCCACGACTGGCCGCGGCGGGCAGCGCTCGGGGACGAGCCCGGCCGACCAGGCGGAAAGGAAGTGGCGGCCGCGGCTTTGCACCAACCATGTTCGGCCGGCGGGCGAGTGCCACTCGGCGCTCACAGCGGGGTCGGAGGGCGCGGGGAGGGCATCCAGGTCCCTAACCCGCCGCAGCCCCAGGTCCTGCAGGGGACGCGGGCCCCCAAGCGTGCCAGCAGGGCACCGCTCGGTCCCCGGAGGCTCCCCGCCCCCACCTCGCCCGCTCCGTAGCCGAGGCGGGTCAGGCCCAGCGCGCGAGGCCGGCCCGGGGCGCCTGCGGGGACCAGAGGCGCCCGGCGCTAGGCCGCGGCCAGGGCAGATGACCCCTAGGCGCGGCGCCCTCCCGGGACGCGCCACCAGAGCCCCCCGCGCGCCAGGACAAGTGCAGTGACAAAGCCCCAGGGCCAGGCCGGGCGCTGGCCGACGGGAAGGAAGACGCGACGTCCCTCCTGAGCGGCAGCGGCAGCGGCCCAGCCCCGCGGAAGCCGGACGCGCGGGCCAGGCCCTGCGCCCAGCCCCGCTCGGAGCCCGCGCGCCCGCGACCCTTCCCCAATCCCGGCAGGCGGGCGCCCCATCAAGTTTCCTTTGGCCCCGGCGGGCGGCGCCTCTCCCTCCCGAGCGCGGGGCGCAGGCAGCCGGGCGGCCGGTGGGTCCCTGCTTATTTGCGCTGGAGGCTGCCTGCAGAGAGGCGCCGCGGCCGGGCACCGAGGACCCGCTCCCCGCCTTCGGATCTGGAGACCACGGCGTCTGTGCACACGCACACACTTGCACATGATAATTTTGTTGTAAAAGGAGGCCCGACTCCAGCGGACCTGCACCCCCACACACCACACCTGGGGCGCAGGATCACACAGAGCAGGTCTGTGTCCATGGAGCCACCTCTCCGCATCTGCAAATCCAAAAGTGAAATTAAACCTCCACCGACCTCCTCCTCCTCCTCCTCCCTCTCTACCTCCTCCTCCTCCTTGCAGCCTCAGCAGTAGCAACAGCAGCAGAACCTGCTTCCCCTAAAATCAGAAGATCCATAACAGCGCCGACTGTTCCTCCAAAAATCGGTATTAATATTTATGAACCCCAGCATTCCCGTCTGCAAAACATCCTGTCAGACCATCTGGACACACACACACACACACACACACACACACATCCACTCCGGTCCTCATAAACATGCCCTCAAGAAAACACACACACGCACAGTCACAACTATTATTTGAAAAATGTTACCTCTCAGTGTGCTTTTTCACGCTACCAATGCAATTCCGCAAGGTCTAAGTGTTGTTAGGGTGTGTGAAATGGAAATGAAAGCCCGTCAGTTGAATAATCGCAGGAGCAAAACTAAAAGTTACTGCCCGGCTTGCCTGAGAACAGTCCAGATCGAAAGCAAAACAAGGAGAGGAAACTGCGAGCAGCCGAGGCTGGAAATCCCCCCGCCCCCCGCCCTGCGCCGGCCTGGCTCCCTCCCTCGCCGCCCCTCTCCGCCCTCCTCCCTCCGCCCTTCCTCCCCAGTGTTTGTTTCAGGCTTGTGCAACCGGGAGGTGGAGGCGGAGGGCGGGCGAGCGGCCCGGCCGGGAGGTGCGGAAGTTCACCGCCGCCGTTCATTGGCAGGCAGAGCCGCTTTCATCATTTCTCGAAAAGTCCATTTCATTTTCACTTCCCCACGTCGCGGCAGTGGGAGCAACAAGCGGCTGCTCGTGAGTCTGTCCTTCGCACACCGGGGCTCGAACACTCGAGTGCGGTGGGGTGGGGTGGGGGGCGGGGTGACCCGGCACACGCCTGGGGTCGGGCAGACGCCACTGGCCGTAGGAGAGGGAAGTGGGTACCAGACTCCACCCTAAGGGATACCTGAAGGTTGGGAAGGAGGGAGGGTATCCTGGGAAGCCAGCGGGCTCTTGCCATCCATCCAGTTAGTGGGGCAGGTGTAAGTGGTGTTTAGAGCCCTTCTTCTCAGAGTGAATCAGTCACTTCGTAACACTGTCCACTCAAAGGAACAAATTAACTAGCAGACAGCGTTACTTAGGTATTACTAGAAGAACTGGGCGAAGTGACTGACGTCCTGAACCTTTTTGGAGCCCTGTTACCAGTGGTAGAGGGTGTAACCATTGGAGGGGCTGCTGCCAGCTGTGGCACCACCTGGCACTCCGTCTTCCACGCAGGGCGATAAGGAAGGCCTTCCCCTGGGAAGGCAGCAGTAGCACACTCCAAGACTGAATAATCGCCTGTACACAGAAGTTACCGCAGGAGGACATGGGCAAGGATGCGAGTTAAGCTTACATATATCTTGGTCATGGCTGGCCCAGGAAAGAGGCTTTATACTGTGGTACTTCCAGCCAGTTTCCAATGAGGCCTCCTTAATGTACTAGCTGGGCATCTTTGGCCAAGTTGCTTAATCTAAGGGCTCAGTTTTCAATGCTGTAAAATGGGGATAATGAGAGAATGCAAGAATACAGGAAGCACCTGTCACCTTAAGATGCGTTAGCTCAAAATAATACAATTCGCTTGGGACTACCTGGGTTTTGGACCCTTGATTTAAAAACATCGATTCTCACCCTGGCCCATTTGACTCAGCAGTTAGAGCATTGGACGGAACAATGAGTCGCAGGTTCAATTCCAGTCAAGGGTACCTACCTCGGTTGCACTTCATCCCTGACCCTGGTCAGGATCCCACGAGAGGCAACCAGTTGCTGTCTCTCTCTCTCTCACATGGATATCTCTCTCTCTCTCCTTCCCTCCATCCCTCCCACTCTATCTAAAGATAAATAGAAAAATAACCTCTGGTGAGGATTTAAAAAAATAATAAGAACATTGATTCGCATCTAATTATAACTGATTCTTCCCCACTTGAAGTTTCATCAGGCTTCTCCTAAACTCTGCCCAGAGGAAGCCCTTTCTTGAGAGGCCACAGCTATTTTAAACACTTTTCCAAAATCATAACTCCAACACCCTTCTCTTCTTTGTTACAGAAGTATTGAATTCTATGGACGGGAAAAAGGAAAGTTCTCAAATATGCAGATGCAGTGAGGAGACAGATGAGGGTTTAGGATTCTGTTCTGTGGACATCTCAGGAATAGATCTCACATGCACACATTTCTTATCCCGCATGTGACACAGCCACTTACATATTTCCTATAGCAGTGACCACTGTAGGCAATCAGACAGAGTATACAAATTCTGTATGATGATTGTCATTCTACTCATCCATAGACCCATAGTAATGCCATCATGGACAGGTTCTGAGCGTTTAAGTGAAACTACTTATAAGGCCCTGGCCGAGTGCTCAGCTGGTTAGAGCATCCTCCCAATATGCCAAGGTTGCTGGTTCCATCCCTGGTCAGGGCACATACAAGAAGCAACCACTTACCCGGCTGGTGTGGCTCAGTGGTTCAGTGTCAACCTATGCACCAAGAGGTCGCCAGTTTGATTCCTGGTCAGGGCACATGCCCAGGTTGTGGGCCCAATACCCAGTGTGGGGCATGCAGGAGGCGTCGATCGATGTTCTCTCTCATCGATGTTTCTCTCTCCCTCTCCCTTCCTCTCTCTCTAAAATCAATAAATAAAAATTTAAAAAAGAAAACTATGTATAAAACCAATTTTGTCATAGGCTAATTGATATAAACAAGGGTTAAGTTCCTGCAGCATCTCATCACTGTTATAACTAAACAACATTGAACCAAATGATGTTCTTCAAGGACTTGATATACTTCTTATCAGTAGTGTCCTATTGACCTGCTGATGCTACTCCCAGATTTCTGGACCTGGACCTTCTCCTCCTCATGGCTTCATTCAGTTATTGCAGTTGCCCTGCTCCCTGTCTCCTGTAGGAACCCTCCAGGCTAGCAGCCACACTACTATCCAAGTTAAGTAGAAAATTAACTTATGATAAGGCAAAATTTCAATCCCAGCTCCACCTCTTAATAAAGTCCACGTTATTTACAAGACCTATAAAGTCTGTTACAATCTGGCACCAAGCTACTTTTCCAGTGGCCTCTCCTACTAATGTGCCCTCGAGCCCTGACCACCCCCTTCCTTCCTTTGTCAAACCAGCTGCCATTCCTGTTTGTGAACCATCCTGACATACATTGTTTTATCCTTAGCATGGTGCCCAGCACACGGGCACTCAAATACTTGTGAATTAATAATTACTTGCCCTTGGTTCTCATAAAATATTTTAGACTTTGTAGAGTTATTTATTTTCATTTTAATTTTTTTTTAATACTCACCTGAGGATATTTTCCCATTTATCTTCAGACAGAGTGGAAGGGAGAGAAGGGGAGAGAGAGAAACAACATAAGAGGGGCGCATCGACTGGTTGCTTCCCGCACGACCCCAATCAGGGCTGGGGACGAAGCACAACTGAGGTATGTGCCCTTGGCTGTAATCGAACCCGAGACTCATTGGTCCATGGGCTGATGCTCTACTGCTGAGCCAAACTGCCCAGGGCGAATATTTTATTTTTTATATATAAATGCAATCTATAGTTATTGTGCAGAATGCAGAAAATACAGAAAAGGTAGAAGAAGAAAATCCACTACCTGAAATCTCCCCAGTCAGGAGGAGACCTGTAGCTATTTTATGTGTTTCCTTCCAGTAATTTTTCTAACGGGCCATTTCCATGCCTCCTCTGCTCAGTCTCTTATGTAACATTTCGTAATGCCCACCGTGCTGCCCTTTCTCATGTTGCCTCTGTCACATCCCTCTGTCCTGCTCTATTTCTTGTTGGCTCTTCTGTTGCCAGCCCCCTAAATTATGGTGCTTCCAGACATTCTGTCCTCAGTCATCCTATTTTCTCATTCTCTGTTCCTGCTCTCTGAGTGCTTTGAGCCACGCCCCAAGTTTCAGATATCACTCTTTAGTGGTAACTCCAAAAACTGTAACATATGAGCTCTGGATGCTTTACCTCCTAGATGTTCCTCAGGTGCAACAAATTAAACATACCTAAAACTAAACTCATAATATCTTTTCCTACATCCCTGTATGTATCACTCTGCTAATCAGCCAGGAAACTGGGAGGCACCACCAACTTCAGCCTTTCCTGAGCCCCTGGAGCTCCCTGAGGCATGGGTATTGGTTCTCATTTTCCAGGCCCCTCGGCTCATAAAGCATAGAATGAATTTCACTCTGGTCTTATGCCCTTGATGACGTGTCACTGCAGACCAAAAATGTAAACACAACCCCAAAATCCACATGGTATTGAAATACACAATCAAGAAATATTTCTTAGCCCTTTGATGAGATGCATATAGTCATAAATTTCTGGGGGGAAAAATGGATCAATATAGCAAAATATAACCATTTTCAAAATATCTGGAAAAAGCAACCTGTGCTGTACCGAGGAAATCTGACCAAACATCTTGGTCTAATAAAAAAACCATTGAGCAGTCTAATGAAACTGGAGTGATCTGAGTGAGACAAGTTTATGTTTCAACTATGGAATGGAACATCCTAAAGGAAGACCTACCTGGATGCATTTGGACTAACTTCTTGGCAAGGGAGTGGAGTAAGGACAGTGATTGCTTGGGCATGTAGTGATCCATCTCGCCACAAATGTATCTCAACTAGGGAAGAAATTTAAAGATACATTCAAGGTTAATCCCTTTCGAGTGGGTTTTTAATTTATTTTTCTAATAAATCAGAATAGCTTCATAAAACAATCATTCAAGTAACAAACATTCATTTAGTGCCCAGGAACTTCTCTCGGCTCTGGGAATACAGCAGTGAACAAAACAAATGGAAGTCTCTGCCTTCCCAGAAGCCTTCTTATCGTCTAGTAAATTCACATGTTAATTGCCGTTGTATCGTCTCAGTAATGGCACCGAGATCACCTCCATTTAAATTCACAGCTGTACATTAAAGCTAAAGCTGTAGAGGATGATGGCATACTACCAGAGTGTTAAGTATAGCCATGAGTAAATCGGTCACCCCTCTGCCAGCGGTGCCCACGTTTTCTCCGCGGTGTCACTGATACCACTGAGGATCTCCTCCATGGTGCTGACATTCCAGGGGCTATAAAATCATGGAAAAGGAGAGTTTCACACTTGCCAGAGCAGTTGGCCAATACACAGCCATAGATTATAGTTCCTCATTGCAAAGACTATTATTGTGAAGTCCATTTTGAATAAACATACAGCCCAGTTAGATTTTAGTTGAGACAGTAGAACTGTGAAGACGTTGAAAAAGTTCGGGAATCATAGGCATTACGTTGGAGACCTTCTTGACGACTCCCTCGTGTAATGGTTTCTTCCATTTCATTAGAAACTCTGAAATGAAGTTCATTTTGTTGCAATTATTCTCTGAAAATCATGGACTTAAATTGAGTAATATATCGCCCAGTGTTCAATAATAAATAAAAATTTTGTCCTGTTCTTCTGATAAGGGAAAAATACTCTTTGAAA